ACAAAAAGGTGAACTCGCTGGAACTTTGAAAGTATATTTTTGAAAATAGTTCACCAAAAGGGTATTTTTGGCGCAATAAAAGAAAATCCGAATTTTCCGACCTGTCGTCGGATTCTCCATATATACAGGCAATGGCTCTTAAACTTTCAATGATTGTGATACAAAGTACAAAGTTGAAGAGTGAAATACGATGTTGATGTTTGCCAAGTTAATTGCTAGACTGTCAAGTTGAATGTTGTGATCAACTTTGATTTTTGGCGGGGATGGAACTCCATAATTTGTCAGGTGCCACTGACATGCGACATGTTTGCTTCTTTCTATTTACCGTTAGTAAAGTTTGACTGCACGTATTTTATATCACCAGGGCATTTTTTTTACTCAATTCAGTTGCACAGATGATCAAAAAGAGAAACAATTAACGATGTTCTTCGGTGTTGTTTCAATACCGTTGGATGGTTATCGTGGACTGCGAAATGCAATGTGCCTATTATAAAAGTTGATGTTCCTCATTTACATGTTATACAAACTATCTGAAATAAGACAGAATGAATATGTTGAACAAATATAAGTTTGATTTAGGACGTTCACGACATTTAAAAGAATCGCTACTGCAATATCTCTCTGGCTGCGTTATTCGGAACATTAAAATCCAGAAGCCCATCATCAAAATCAGATTACGTATAGTCCGGGAACCCCGTAGATACGGAAACCAACGGGTCATGAAAATTTGGCCATATTAACGGAGAGGCCGTGTTAAAGGGGTAGGGTCAAATTTGAGTGATGTCTTTAGCAGATATACCACAATTACACTTCTAAAAGGCTGTTCTTTAATAAGCATCTGGAATGCGATATAATATATGTAAAAAAAAATTGAAAATTCAATCAGCTCATACAACATTAACAATGCAAAAAATGAACATAACTGGTTCGAGTGGCCGTATAAACGGGATAAAATTACATAAGATTATACAGGTTGAGATTTTAGAATGTACCGGTTGGCCTTATTACGGGGTGGCCGCATTGACGGGGTTTTCTTATAAGAAACGTATAGGCGTTTCGCCGGAGCCGGAAAAAGTGCAGAGGTGACTGCATTAACAAGCCGACGGTAAGGCGAGGTTCCACTGTACTTTTTTTGTCAGGAAATCAAAGAAAATCAATTAATATGTAAAGACAGAGCTGACTTCCCTATCTGCCAATCTATGTAAACAGTAGATCTGCCTTTAAAAAGCAACATTCCACGGTCGATACGGAGTAATGCAATTACCCAATGGCTATGAAAATAGAAGTGAACCATTGTTGATTTTGAACGTTTGCTTATTAAGCAACAACCAATAACACTCAAGCTGGTTTTATCTGATGACGGCGTACATGCCGTTTGTGTAATTGGCAGAAAAACAAATATTTTCTTTGACACGTCCTTTGCCTTCTTGTGCCTTTGCATTTTAATTGACTTTTACGTGATATTTTTACGATATGCAACCGATTTACTTTTTAAAGCGCTATTCAAGTTTAATTTAAAACTAGAAGCTTGCCATTGTTGTTACTGAGCGTCCAGGAATGCCTGGTGGAATGGCGTTCTCGGCGGCATTGCGGTCTTTAAGGAATATTCGATTTTCTCGAGGAGGTAAGCACAAAGGGGAAACCAGTTTTTCAGTTATCTACCTTGGAAGCGTACAAATATTGTGTCCTGTTGGAGAGGGAATATGCGGCTCTGTGGAGGAAATTTACGAGAACTGCCGAATAAAACTGAAACAAAAGTTGTTGCCGAAACAGTCTCTACAAGTTAAAGACGATTCGTTTGAGCTGAGTAAAGTAAATATAGAGGACCAAGGAACAAAAACCGTTTATAAGTTCAGCAGGATTGTGTACTGCGGTGTTGACGCCAAACGAAGGAAGATACTGGTGTTTAATTATCATCATTGTGAAGGAGAAGATGGAGATGTTTATCTGACGCATGCTTTTATGTGTGAGAACAAGAGTGCGGCTAAACATCTGGCATTAACAGTGGCAGAATATTTTCAGACACTGACATGTCTTGTTACGCAAGACGTCGATGAGGATATAGACGAAAATCCAGAAGTGGAAACGAAAGCAGAAGCCTTAAGCAACACGACGGATAACGACGACAACGCGGGAAACCGTAATTCAGAGGGTGGAATCGAGTTAGGAAGTGTTACTAGTAGCAGTCAGGCTTAACTTCGTAAATGATCCCATCACAATCCTTGCTGATTCAGACGTGATGAAGATCTAATTGTTTTCTCTTTTTTGCAATGGCAATACATTCTCAATTAGATAGGCAATAAGACTTACATCAGGTCTACAGAACAAGCATCTAAACGAATTGATGGTACATGAAGGAAAAGCAACGTTTTGAGCTTGAGGTGGCTTACTACAGTTTTATCGAGCGTAAGTAGCACGCTTTACGATTGTCTACCTGATGACAGTATTAGTGGCAAAAAATGACGCAAGTAATTCCAGGAGGAAACGAAATCACGTTACTACTTGTACTGGCCTGTTGAAAATGGGCAATTTTGCATAAATTTAATCGGCCATTTTGATTGATTGTGCGGTATTTCGAACTTTGCTAGATTTCACAAAAATGTGAACTCGCTGGAACTTTGAAAGTACATTTCTGAAAATAGTTCACCAAAAGGGTCTTTTTGACGCAATAAAAGAAAATCCGAAATTTCCGACCTGTCGTCGGATTCTCCATATTTACAGGCAATGGCTCTTAATTACCAACAGAGTTTACAAAAACCTGTCTTCTCGAGAGCCTACCGTTTAAACCATGATGAAACCTTCTTAATTGAGACACTGATATTAGGGAGTCGAGTCCATTGCCAAAATTTTAAAAGAATCTGTAGGGCAGATTTTGGACTCTTTTGAAATAGGAAATATTTTACTTGCTTATTTAGCGAAAAAGCGCTCTTGAATATTTTTATTTCATTCTGCACAATTGTTTGATGGGACCCATTTTTCATTCCTGAAATTTTGAGATAGGATCATAGGGTAGATTTTGAGACAAATGAAAGAACTAGTGCTTACTATTCCCCTAAGAATTCGGTTGTTCATTTTGGGTCTTTATTAACGTTTGTATTGTTCAAATATTGAACATGATGGCTAAAGACTTAAGCAAGCAGTAACTGAGAAACGAAAAACATCTTGGAACGTTTTTCAAAAGTCTTAAGCCACGTTAAAGGACCTCGGTCACGGAATTTTCCGTAATTTTGGCCACTTGCAAAATTACCTTTAAATTGAATTGAATTTAAACCATAAAGTAACAAAGAGATTAACACGGATTGCAAACGACGAACTTGAAAAATTCAGACTAAACTTTTCAAGATGCGCGAACTGTAACGTAGCTCCTTTAAGCTCAAACTACCCCTTAACAAACAGAAAATGTGCGTAATTCAGCCCGATGAGTTTATTTTTTTTGTCATCGTTGTTACAGTGCAATTGAATACCTCTCAACTACTGCTTAGATTTTAAAGCCTTTTTAAACAACAAACAAAGGTCACCAGATATTGCAAGATAAATTTTACTCACCCTTTGACTTACAATATCTAAGGCAATCGCGATGCTGTGTAGAATCGTTTAGGGAACTTTTCTTAGTGAGCTCTCTACGGCGAGTTAATGTCGTTGTATTCATGAGGTAAATCTTAAACTGATATTGAAAAATAATACTGCCATATGAGAAGCGAATAGCAGCAGCCAGTGTATTTCATTTATCAGTTTATTACATTATGGAGAAGACTTGCTTTTTCATCCATTTTAGCATGATTTCCATAGGACTTTTAAGTGCTGTCAGTTCATTTGAAAAGAACCATAATTTCTTACAGATAGTATTTGACTCTGAGTAGCTGAGTGCAGTATGACTGATATTGAATCTAACTGTATTGAAAAGTGATTAAAGTTTAAAATCTGACATTTATAGAATTTTCGTAGATCATATCTCTTATTGATGTGTCACTTACTTCTCAACCTTACAGGCAATCTAGCTAGCGAGCAACATCCCTTGGATTAGGAAGAAACCCTCTCTTATCCTCTTTTAAGGCCAGTTTCTTGTCTTTCACCTACTGCTCCCACAGAATGGTTTCCTTTTTACCCCCCTTTTTTTTAGCCAACTGTGCGAGGTTCCCTCGTTAATTTTACACTTCCACTATAGCTCGATTTTAGCACTGGTACTGACCCTGGAACTATTTCTGGTACTGTTTCTGATGATCAGAACGTGCAGGTTCCACAATTACTGTTCTTGTGGTTAGTCCACGGACCGGTGCTGCTGGAATTCGTCTGGGAGAATCTCCTACAGTTGGCCATGCAACTTTTTCTGGACTAGTAAGTGCACCTTAAAGTAACAGAACATAAATTGTTTAACAGTAGCACATTGTGGAAGGGTTTTAGTTTGTGGAAGGGTTTAAATTTGCTAGCAAAATCTTTGCTTATTTGTTACGTTGGAAAAGGCAACCGGCATAACATTTATTGGTAAATATTTACTGTAGTATATTGTAAAGCCGTGAATTTGAATGGCTCTACTACAGTTTTCTATCTTCTGATAGAAAACAGTTGTACACGTGATTTTTCTTCAGCATCATTCGACAACGCGACATGTTTTAAACCCTGTGAATAGGCGATTTGCATGATGGCGTTATTTGATTACAACTACCAGAATCCTTCACTTTTTCTGTTTCTTATGATATATAGGGCAATTGTTATTTAATCCCAACTGGGAATTCAAAAGTTAAATAGTGAATAAAAAACTAAAGGAATTCTGGTAGTTGTAGTCAAATGACGACAACGTGCAAATCTGCTATTGCCGCCTAATGTCACGCAAACAAAAAAACGTTTCTTTTCTACACATTACGAGCAATAGTAGCGGAGCCCCATACTCATATAGGAAAGAAAAGGAAACCCATGAGTTGATTTTCTCATGGTAATCACGGCAAGCGGTATTGCTCGTTGGCGCGTACGCACGACGGCGACGACGACGACGACGATGACGACGACGGAGTCGCGCAACATGGCGGCCATACTCCAAATAATAGGTTGACAGAGATGTGCAGCCTTGGTTTACTGTGTACTTCTTTGATATTGGACATCCATGTTATTATCAATTGACACCTGTCAAAACAAGGTATCCGCTGACCAGTATCACGTGACCATATCGGAGGCTCAAGTTTATGGGTTATTGAGGTCACGTTTTTTTTAAAGTTGACCGCTGACCAAGTGCTAGTTTTCGATTGGATCGCAGGCTCGTGTTAGCTTAACTTGTTGAAAACAGTGCAGGATTGTTCGGAAGCCGGTTAACGCTAAACCCAATATTAAAAGTTAACGAAATTATAACTTTTTCTGATATACAATTGTTTTTTGCTGCTTTGTTTTGTTTATATGGTGGTTATTAAAACTCAAAACAGAAGGCCAAACAATATACAGAAAACCTCAAAATTCTACCTTTTCCTGGGTTAGCTTAGTTTGGCTCTGGGCAACCCGGCCCAGGAGCTATGCTTTTAGGCTGGCCTAAATCTATATATTAGTGGCAAACCGGTCTCGTAGTTAGTCTTATTGTTAATTTGAACGCCTCATTTAATAAGCCTTACGGGTTGTCTGTATACCTCCTCGACAAGATTCAACACTTCCCATTCTGTAAATATCTAATTTAACAAGTTTTGGTGAAATTAATCAAGCGTACAATTAACAACTCAATTAGCTCGGTTTCACTTGAGTGTCGAAAAGCATTGAATAACTACCTGAATATACGATTGACCTAAAAACTGGAGCACTTTTTCGTCCAATAGAAGTAAAACCAAAACCAATCGGGACTGCCTCGCACACGTTTTCCTGCGCTTTGCGTCAGATCTACCTCTAGTTTTGATTGGTTCATTGGATTGTCTGTGTCCTTTGCCATTAGTTAGAGTGATGACTTTGGTTTTGGTTTGACGATACTCAATTGAAATCCGCTCCAGTTATTTAATCAAAAAACAAATAAGTTTGAGCAGTGACTTCTGAGGCACATAAACGTTACAGAACGTCTTACCTTTCATAGTAAGGGCAATCCAGTCAATGAAAGCGTTAACGCGCGTAAACACACATGGCTTAGAAGGAACGCAATACTCGTTACCAAAGGACGTGATCCCTTGAAGGACCCATTTCCCATTGTCATTACAGAGCAGGGGTCCTCCGCTATCGCCCTGACATGGACTGGTCCCCACTCCTCTGGCACACAGTTGTAAGCGCGGGTTAATGGAATTACATAGAAAAGGTTCCACGAGCGGCAGTGGAGCTTCTAGTAGGACTAAGGGACCAACTTTAACCGGAACAGTTGAATAACCCCAACCTGAAACGTTATTTTAAAGCTATTTCTGAAAGCTGAATAATTAAGTTGTGGTTTAAGGACATTGGGTCTTTTCCGAATACTACCTGGACACATTTTTGCCACTTTTCCCGAGAGAGACAGCTCTGTGCCCCTTAATTTGAAGAATATTAGAATTTAATTTCCTTTTGTGCAAAAGGGACAAAATGAGGAATATTAGTAACCAGCTTACAAAATGATGATAATAATATTAACGTTTAACAACGAAAGGAACGTCAAAAAAAATTGCTTTAATGTGAAACCATGCTCTCAACCAGAGGTTAACTAAAAGACGAATTGGTAATAATGCGAAAGTAGATATTGACATAGCTAACCTGCAACCCAGCATTCAGCATCAGTAATTGGTGCTCCGCTGACTGGTAAACGCACGGGCGGTATTTGAAGCCTCCGAGAGAGTCTTATTAGTGCTATATCATACGGGCCGGGAAATACAAACGGATTGTAGAGAGGATGTATGAAGAACTGCATAACATTATATGGCATCCCATCTAGGCCAGTTGTAGACTTGGCTCCTAGAAAAAGGTAAAAACTCTACGATTGCTGAAATCTGCCTGCAATAGTCCTCTATAAGAAAATATCCGAAAACTGCGCCAACTGGTCTTCATGTCTCAAAAGACAATTTAATTCATAGGTTTGCTCAGGATTTTGCAGTGAATGTATCAAAATTCTCATGTCTTACCACATTTTTAAGTTAACATATGCATGAGGTTTCAAGGTCAGACAAAGGTCCAGCTTTATGGGCTAAAGTTGTCCGGTTTCCATGTTGAAAATCCAAGTTTTTTGGATTTTTTTTTTGACTTGTTTTACATTTTTATAGCAGTTTTGCGATATTTAGTATTTTCAAAGTAATCATAATATATACTGAAGTGTAAGAGAAAATATGAAGACAACTCTGCCCTATCATTTTCTCTAGATAAGAGTTACACTTACGGTCATTCCTCTGTATTGCATTGCGTATCTTTACTGCGCAGAGTATCACGCACAATTAGCGCGCACACATTAACAAAATGGTGGCTTTTTCTTAACGGCTTGGCTTGCGAGAAACAAATGTTCCTTTTATTCTGGGAAACAGGTACCGGGACCTAACGATTTTTTCATTTAGCTTGAATGCAACGATCACCCTCTCTCTATACAGTGAATGTAGACCAAATTGTATTGCAGGATAAAAATTTATCACTGACAATTAAAACATAGCTAGCGCTTATAAAAGATAATATGTGGCCTCAAGAACACTGCGTACTTGGAATATATTGTATCCCCGTGGACTAAATGTGGGTGCCTTTATCATGAATCGTACATCAAATTGTTCCTTGACATTAACACAATACATCTATTGTTATAACATAACTAAAGCAAAGCGCGCGCTCTGATTGGTTAATTTAGCGTCTACTATTTGCCCATGGGTGTACGCTGCTGACGTGTGTGC